ACCGAGGGTTGCGATCCCGTTGCCGGTCCTGGTCCGGTACGGGGGCAACACCGAGGGTTGCAATCCCGTTGCCGGTCCTGGTCCGGTACGGGGCGACACTGAGGGTTGCAATCCGTTGCCGGACATGGAAAAAAGACAAAAAAAAAAAAAGTCAGTCACTAAAGCACATTCCCAAGAGGGCTAGTCAAAGTAATAGTGTGTGCAGTAAATCCACATGGCATGCACTTTGTTTTACATGGCATGTTATAGTATTTGGGTTTTTCCCCCGCTAAAAAATATATTTAAAAAATCAGTGGAAAACTACAGATGAAATCCACCTCTAGCATTGTTTTCCCCTCAAAATATGGCACGAAGTCTGTGGCACACTGAAGACATAATTTACACAGACTATAGCCACATAGAGGGGATATGAAGCAGGGTGGGGGTTTCAGTTCCCCTGTTAGAGCCAGAAGGCCTTTGCATGTGGAGGGGCCCCTGCCCTGACCTCATTTACCTAAAAGTAGAATCACTTTGGATGGTGCCTGGGGTTTCCAATCAGACAGGGCAAACTGACTCTAGGGTAGGATGTGTCTTAACTCCTCAGACCCCTTCCTAAGGGAAGATTTTAATATAGTTCATCAGTGCACCAAACCCTGTGTATGGGGCTCTACAAAGATTCAACATGAGCCTCACAATCCACACAAGACAAACATTGGTCACTGTTCTCCACAAATTAGAGGAAGAAAGTGGTTGTTTAAATAACACATAGCTGTATAAAGCTCTAGGCTTTTCAAATTTGCAACTTAATAGACTTTTTTCCCCAGAAAATTGAGAAAGAGTTGCATAAGGCACACAATAGCAAGTGAATTTATTTCAGTGCAATTGCACCAACACTGTGTCAGGTTCACAAAGCTGCTTAAGACCCAGCACTGGCCCTTCAGAAGTCGAGAATAAGAAAATGATAGTGACTACTGATTACTGAACACTTTCTAATTGAATACCTAAGGATCAGTTGAGGCACTGCGATCCCCATTTTACAAATGAATAAATAGCTTGAAGCTTATGCAGGTCAAGAGGTTCCCAAGATAACACAGCTAGTAACTGGTGTTACCAGAACTCAGCCCAGACTTACATAACTCTGAGGTAGGGGTTCATAACCCTGCACTGTACTGTCCCTCACAGATAACTACTAAGCAAGCTGGAATGAGGTAGTTACTATGAGAAAGGAGCAATGTTTTCTGGAGTTCAAATGGGAAGAAATGGGAGAAGCCAGTCTCTTTCTAAAATAGATGCAGGAGAGAGTGTGTAGAGGTGGTCCTAGTGGGGCGTGGAGAGGACCGGGAGCAGAGGCTGCAGAGTGTGTGTGGGGTGTCCCAGGGAAGTCAGGAGCCCAAGCACTGACTGAAGGAGGAAAACGAGAGAGTGAGGAAATGAAAGGACTACAGAAGGGGCAAAGTAAAGCGGCTAACAGGTGGTCCTCAGCCTGTAGATTGCCTGTTTCCGAGGTTTCACATGGAATCCTTAAGGAAGGGGAGATTCATTGAGGAGAAGTTTCCAAGAGCAAAGAGATAAGGGAGAAGCCTGTTTGGTTCAATAAACATGAGCATGTAATCACCTCTGCTGGGCCATACTCTGAGCGAGTCTCTGGGGTTTCAAAGGCGGACTTCCCGTCAAGAAGCTCACAATGTAGTGAAGGCCTGCTGTTGGCCAGGGCCCGGGGCTCCATCCAGGGCCTCACTGCATTCTGGGCTGTCGCCTCATTTTGACTGTTTTCTGCATGTGCAGCTCTGTCTAGCCCTCCTGATGTGCTCTTCCTCTTTCCCTAGGGGAGCTGTATTTCCTGGCCACCTCTTACCCAAGTGCCCACGTGCCACATGGATCTATTTACAAGTTTGTTGATCCCTCAAGGTGAGATTTGGTGTCATTTTCTTCTCAAGTACATTTTTATTAGTGCTTATCTCCATGGAAGGCCAAAAAAAAAAAAAAATGGTCTCACTCCCCAAGAATTAGGAAGAATTATCAACAAAGTAAATCTAGATGAAAGATGCTCTAGAGGGAAAGTAGTTTGGACAAACATCTGTGTAGAACCATATGTCTATGGGAATTATGGAATATTCGGGAAATGGTCTCTTTGTGGTTGGAAATGAAGATCTCGAACCTTCCTGGGATGACTAGTCTAGGCCTGTGGCTTGCATATTTTTGTTTTTAAATATGCTTCTGGAAATTTCTGTCTGGGCTCATCTGACTACAGGTGTATACCTCTGACCACCGAGTAAGTATTGCTGCCCCATCTCGTGGGCTTGGCTGAGGTCTCAAGATCTTTGGCAAATACCTTGAACTGTCAGGTTTTCCAGTGTCTGCACATGACCTTTTCTGGAATTCAGTGGCAGTATCTGTTCACTTGGAGGACTCTCTGCTGTTTACTTATGCTCACTTACCCACCTCGCTCAGGGGTTGACCAACCTCCACCAGCGCAGGCAAAAGCCACAATACAGCTTCACACTGTGAGGCAGTGGACTCTGTGACCAGAGGGTCTGTGCTTGGGGGGTGATGCCATATATCCATCTTGAGGAGTCTGGGCAGTGCACAGGATTTATCTCAGGATTCTTGCTCAAAGCAAGAAAGTCTCCCCATACTGAGCCTACAGATAGTCCTGCAGAGGAAAACTTCCCTCTGAGGACTGTGGTAGCCATATCTGGGTTGCTGTTCAGTAGACATTAGGCAAATAGGTCCAGCCACTGGGCAGGGCTCAGGGCCAGGGACTGGCTCAGCTTCCATTTGGCAACAGGGTTCTTGCTTGTGTGTTCTCAGAAGTTCCTGGAAGAGGCTCAGTCCCTGAGGCTGTGCCTGGGGTGCTCTGCTGATAGTGGAGCAGGGATTGCCAAGGTGTGAATTTGGTACTGGGCTGTCTCCACTGCTGTGTCTGCCCGGTGCTTGGGGGAGGCAGCAGCCCCAGGGTCTGCAGTGTGCTTCTGATGGCTGAAATGCCTGGGGGAGGAGTTCCACTCTTTCCACTAATGGCTTCCTGTGTGAATCCACTTTTCTTTCCTTTGGCAGTTGCTTGATCTCGTTGGGCTATAATGTAACTCCCCTCTTTCACAAGAGCAGTCATGAGAGGCCATACAGAAAGCAACTATAGAGGCCTTTCCACACCGAGGACATTTTTGCTCATTCACCTTTTTCTCAGGTTGACATTTATTGAGTTATTCTGCATGCCAGCCCTATGCTAAGTGCTGTGTATGTAGCTGTCATTTCGTGCTGACAGAATCCCAGTGAGGCAGGGGTTAACTTCCTCAATCTACTGATAAGGAAACCGAACCCTTGGCAAGTTAAATTACTCGCCCAAGGCACAGCCGGTAAGAGAGTGTCCAGGATCAGAGCTCAGTTCTCTTCGTGGATCTAAGTCATCTTGGCACTACTACCCACTCAGTTCAGTGTCATTACACGGAGTCACGCAGCCTTCCTCAAGCTTCTGTAGCCGTGGACCAGACTCTGCCAGCTCACTCACTCGCCCGTCTGTGCACTAAGGCACTAGTCCCAGCATCTGAGAGGCAATTGACTGATTTATGCATCATTTGTCCCTCCCATCTTTT